TGTGTTTTTCATCCCATCCTCTTATGAAGTCTTTAGTTGTGGTTGTGCCACAGATGGACACGCTTAGCCACCTTGAAAACGTATTTTGCTTGGTTCATGCATCTGTACAAATTGAATGGATAAGAGGCATAAAAAACATTCTCAACATAAAATGTCCCGGGTCCCTTAAAGCTCTAAACAACAACAATAAACAACAACAACAATCCACTTCGTTTGTTAACAGAAATGTGTTTGTTTGTTGCTGCCAGAGGACATTACCATGTTATTCCCAGAGAACGTAGCTGTGTGACCATGTTATTCCTAGAGAACATACCTGTAGCTGTGTGACCATGTTATTCCTAGAGAATGTAGCTGTGTGACCATGTTATTCCTAGAGAATGTAGCTGTGTGACCATGTTATTCCTATAGAAAATAGCTGTGTGACCATGTTATTCCTAGAGAATATAGCTGTGTGACCATATTATTCCTAGAGAATGTAGCTGTGTGACCATGTTATTCCTAGAGAATGTAGCTGTGTGACCATGTTATTCCTAGAGAAAATAGCTGTGTGACCATGTTATTCCTAGAGAATATAGCTGTGTGACCATGTTATTCCTAGAGAATATAGCTGTGTGACCATGTTATTCATAGAGAATGTAGCTGTGTGACCATGTTATTCCTAGAGAACATAGCTGTGTTACCATGTTATTCCTAGAGAACATAGCTGTGTGACCATGTTATTCCTAGAGAACGTAGCTGTGTGACCATGTTATTCCTAGAGAACGTAGCTGTGTGACCATGTTATTCCTACAGAATGTAGCTGTGTGACCATGTTATTCCTAGAGAACATAGCTGTGTGACCATGTTATTCCTAGAGAACGTAGCTGTGTGACCATGTTATTCCTAGAGAACATAGCTGTGTGACCATGTTATTCCTAGAGAAAATAGCTGTGTGACCATGTTATTCCTAGAGAATATAGCTGTGTGACCATGTTATTCCTAGAGAAAATAGCTGTGTGACCATGTTATTTCTAGAGAATATAGCTGTGTGACCATGTTATTCCTAGATAATATAGCTGTGTGACCATGCTCTGTCGTAGCCGGCCGCGCCCGGGAGACCCATTGGCGGCGCACAATTGGCCCAGCGTCGTAGGGGGTAGGGGAGTGAATGGCCGGCAGGGATGTAGCTCAGTTGGTAGAGCATGGCGTTTGCAACGCCAGGGTTGTGGGTTCGATTCCCACGGGGGGCCAGTATTAATAAAAAAAATAATAATAATAAAAAATAAAAGACTACAAATAAAATAAATAAATAATGTATACACTCACTAACTGTAAGTCGCTCTGGATAAGAGCGTCTGCTGAATGACTAAAATGTAAATGTAAAATGTTATTCCTTGTGAACATAACTGTGTGACCATGTTATTCCTAGAGAACATAGCTGTGTGACCATGTTATTCCTAGTGAACGTAGCTGTAACGGATTGAAAAGATATGAAAGCTAGGCTAGAGAGTGTCCTGGACAGATAAAGATCATCTCTGTTCCGAAAGAGAAGAGAACCCACAGAAGTGTATTACCCTTTTTTGACACTGGCTCGGATATTTCGTTATCACATCATTCCTTCAAGGTTACCGCAACAATGGTGGATAATGCGTAACCAGACTGGAAAACTATGGTTCTGCTTGGCTTGGCTTGGCTCAGTAGTGTGAAAAGGATATAATGTTGAGCCACCGTGACCATCAGTCTACTGGACTGATGCCTGTTCCTTTACTTTATACCGTCTGGTCACACAAACCACACTGGTCAAAGTCTGATTTGAAATCGGTAGACACATTGAAATATGGATTTAATTTTATACACACATAAAGATACAACGTGTACGTACACTGAGTGTACAAAACATTATGAACACCCGCTTTTTCCATGACGTAGACTGACCAGGTGAATCCAGGTGAAAGCTATGATACCTTATTGATGTCACTTGTTAAATCCACTTCAATCAGTGTAGATGAAGGGGAGGAGACAGGTTTAAAGAATGATTTTTAAGCCTTGAGACAAGGATTGTGTATGTGTGCCATTCAGAGGGTGAATGGGCAAGACAAAATATTTCAGTGTCTTTGTATGGTAGTAGGTAGCAGGCGCACCGGTTTATGTCAAGAACTGCAATTAACTTTCGACACCTTGTAGAGTCCAGGCCCCAACGAATTGAGGCTGGGGGGGGGGGGGGGCTCAATATTAGGAAGGTTTCCTAATGTTTGGTATACTCAGTGTACGTAGTAATAATGATCTTATAAAACATTATTGTCGTCATAAGCATGTCATGCAGTTTAAGGACCTATGCAGTGTATTATAAGTAAGGGAATGGAAAATATAACAAAAACATACATACATCTGTACATACATCAACATAAGGTAGTAACAACGTGAACTCAAATATTTAAATTTCTCGTTTGTTTAGACGTAGAATAAATAAGAGATATAAACATATCTGGAACATATAGCATGACTCGAGGTCTGACGTAATATTAAACTGATCCCTGCTCTTTGTGGTTCGTCTGTCTGCCTAATAATAACCTGGTTAGATTAATCCTGAAACAGAGGGAGGCCCCTCTACTACAGTAAACACAGTATTATATTGTCCTAGGAAGGAAGGCCCCTCTACTACAGTAAATACAGTATTATATAATTCTAGGAAGGAAGGCCCCTACTATATTTTACATTGCTGCTACAAAAATAGAGGCACTTTGCTTGGCTGTGAGTGACTTGGATCTAGACTGGCCCCAGATCTGTTTGGTCTGCCTTGCCATGACAATGACCATAGCTGTCGGCAAAGCAGCACAAACAGATCTGAGACCAGGCTAATTTGGATCCTGATATCAACGGAATGATAGTTTCACCATAATACACAAAGCATTACTTTTGTTATTTTCTTTTACTTTAGTTTATTTAGTAAATATTTTCTTAACTCTATTTTCTTACAACTGCATTGTTGGTTAAGGGCTTGTAAGTAAGCATTTCACGGTAAAGTCTACACCTGTTGTATTTGGCGCATGTGACAAATAAAATTGGATTTGATGCTCTCATTCTATATTTAAACAATACAACTCATCTTAGGCCTACTAAAGTGTACTAAATTCATCTTCTCTGCATTGTTACTGTGCGTAAGACCTGAATATGTGACTATTCTTTGTTTCCTATGTAAATTTAGATATTGTAGTATAAAAATATTTGGTATATCGTCTTTTTTTGTTCTGTATCACTTTTCTCAAATACATTTCTGTTGGAGCTTTTACAATTATTGGATAAATATCGTACATACATTCATCATAATCTCTTACACAATCTATAAATACTAGTGATCGTACTGTTCCTCTGCCATACTTTAAATAAATATATTATACCATTTTTAATCGATTTAAATGGAATGGTCATACATTGGTGTGTGCTGTCGCAAAAAGTGATATTTGTAGTTTCCTTTGTTGTGTGGTCTGCGTGCGATCAATAATTGTATTTATTTTATACACTGTGTTATTACTTGTGTGTGCACTTGACACCATATATCCAAGATATGGTCATCACTGCATATTAGCAATGTGATATCTTTCTTCTCATATCTTTTCATGTTATTTACAGAAGTTCATTTGTTGTTGTGCACCTCAGTGTGTGAAAAGTCACGTTTCCTTGTGTTTATGAGTTATACACATGACACTCAGACATGAGAGTGGTGTTGCACTTCTAACAAGTACTGTATATCTGTATGAAATATAATCACATAACAGCTTATTGATGAAGCCTTGGCCTGTTAACTTAATTCACTCCTCTCTCTCTCTCTCTCTCTCTCTCTCTCTCTCTCTCTCTCTCTCTCTCTCTCTCTCTCTCTCTCTCTCTCTCTCTCTCTCTCTCTCTTTCTAACATGCTCTCATGTGTCTAGTGTTTATCCAGAGTATTTATTCAGATCCCTCTCTAGGTCTGATGTTACCGCATCGTTGAGTGTTTCTCCTCTCTTCCCCAGCCTTTCACAAGTCACCATTGTTCTTTCTTTCTTTCTTTTCTTGAAACTTGAGTTGCTGAATTCTGAATTCCACCCCAGGCATGCATTTATAATCCATTTTGTTTTGATTTACTGAAGTTTATCCATAATGTTAGCTTTCACTCTTCCGACCGTTCTCGAAGGATTGCTCTCAGAGTCCAAGTCATCCTCTGTTTGTTCTCCTTCCAAGAAAGGTCCTCTCTCTCTCTCGCTCTCTCGCTCTCTCTCTCTCTGCATAGCCGTAGTGAGCTTATGCGCTGCTTTGTACGTTAGGCATGCAGTAATATCCATCCCTCCTGTTCTCTTGCGTGGGGTGAAGTGATTAGCTGTGAAGGGAATCACATTACTACTATAATTGTACTATTCTGTTTAGACGGAGACAGAGATGCAGAGACAGTTGCCTCAAATGAATCGATGTGCAGTGCGTTCCTATTCCATGCTGTATAGGTCTGTATTCCATGACATAGTGTTGATGTCTTCACTCACGTTTGTCCTCTGGTTAAATAACAACCTCCTCGGTGAACGGGTGAGGAGACAGAGGGGACAGGTGATGTTTCATAGGGGTCCTTCCTTCCCGGTCATAACACAGCTGTCCTTGTTTCCGTGTTGGGGGAAATGTGTTCGCTGCCTGGAGGTCAGTGCGGGCTGTCCTCTAGTCTAAGGTGCCGGCGGCAGTGGAGGTGGTGGTGTGTGTGTGTGTGTGTGTGTGTGTGTGTGTGTGTGTGTGTGTGTGTGTGTGTGTGTGTGTGTGTGTGTGTGTGTGTATTTTGTGCTTTTCTATATATCTGCACGTGTGTGTGTGTGTGTGTGTGTGTGTGTGTGTGTGTGTGTGTGTGTATTTTGTGCTTTTCTATATATCTGCACGTGTGTGTGTGTGTGTGTGTGTGTGTGTGTGTGTGTGTGTGTGTGTGTGTGTGTGTGTGTGTGTGTGTGTATTTTGTGCTTTTCTATATATCTGCACGTGTGTATATACATGTGTGTGTCAGTAGAGACTGTCCTTGGTGGTGGAGGTGTGTGTGGTGGTGGAGTCGTCAGGAATGGAGCCCCTGCGGGAGGCTCTGGGTCTGCAGTGCAGCAGGGACTGCAGCTCCCTGGATACAGAGCTGCTGAAGAAGGTGTAGATCCAGGGGTTGGTACATGAGTTCAGACTGGCCAGCAGCATCAGGATAGTGAACGCCACGCCTGCAGAGAGAGAGAGAACACATGACGCAAAGACACACACACACAGCAAGACAAAGGCACATACTGTACAGTGCCTATAGAAAGTCTACACCCCTTTTTTCACATATTGTTGTGTTACAAAGTCGGGTTGACTGAATTTAATTGTGATTGTTTGTCATTGATCTACACAAAATACTCCATAATGTCAAAGTGCAAAGAAAACTCTACACATATGTACAAATTAATAGAAATGAAATAACTAAAATATAGTCATTGCATAAGTATTCACCCCCTTGTTTAGGCAAGCCTAAATTACACTGAACAAAAATATAAACGCAACATGTAAATAGCTGAAATAAAAGATCCCAGAAGTTTTCCATTTGCACAAAAAGCTTATTTCGCTCAAATTTTGTAAACATGTTTGTTTACATCCCTGTTAGTGAGCATTTTCTCCTTTGCCAAAATAATCCATCCACCTGACAGGTGTGGCATATCAAGAAGCTGATTAAACAGCATGATCATTACACAGGTGCACCTTGTGCTGGGGACAATAAAAGGCCACTCTAAAATGTGCTGAGGAGTATTTCTGTCTGTAATAAATCCCTTTTGTGGGGACAAACTCATTCTGATTGGCTGTGCCTGACTCCAAAGTGGGTGGGCCCCTGCGCAGTCATGTGAAATCCATAGATTAGGGCCTAATTAATTAATTTAAATTACCTGATTTCCTTATATGAACTGTAACTCAGAAAAATCATTGAAATTGATGCATGTTGCGTTTATATTTTTGTTCAGTATAGTTCAGAAGTAAAATTTCAATCACATAAGTTGTATGGACTCATCCTGTGTGAAATAATAGAGGTTGACATGATTTTTGAATAACTACCCCTTCCTCTGTCCCCCACACATACAACATCTGTAAGGTCCCTCAGAAAAGCATCTGCTAAATGGCATATTATTATTATATTATTATTATTATCAAGTATTGAATTTCAAGCACAGATTCAACAACAAAGACCAGGGAGCTTTTGAAAGCCTCATAAGGGAAGGGATTATTAGATGGGTAACAATAACAAATCAGACATTGAATATATCTCCAGTCGTCTGCTTCAATAGCCCATCCGTGACAAGGATCGACGAGTTGTACCATTTGGGACGCAACAATAGAGAGGTAAAGGTAATGAACCCCCCTTCTCTTTGGGAACAACAGAGAGAAATGAATTCGTAACAGTACCAGTATTCAGTATGGAAACTAACTGTTTACGATTCCCCAGTTTAGTTTGATTTCTCTCTGGCTCTATTACACGTCCTGTAAATGTCCTTCTGGGACAAAAACCTGGAAACATTACCTATTTCATTTGGCTACTTCGAACTTCTGATATGCAGTTTTTATGTAATAAGTAGGACAATCTTCACTGACCTCCGTCCTCTCTAGGACACTCTGCACTGACCTCCTCCCTCTCTGAACTGACCTCTTCCCTCTCTGCACTGACCTCCTCCCTCTCTAGGACACTCTGCACTGACCTCCTCCCTCTCTGTATTGACCTCCTCCCTCTCTGCACTGACCTCCTCCCTCTCTAGGACACTCTGCACTGACCTCCTCCCTCTCTGCACTGACCTCTTCCCTCTCTGCACTGACCTCCTCCCTCTCTAGGACACTCTGCACTGACCTCCTCCCTCTCTGCATTGACCTCCTCCCTCTCTGCACTGACCTCCTCCCTCTCTAGGACACTCTGCACTGACCTCTTCCCTCTCTGCACTGACCTCCTCCCTCTCTAGGACACTCTGCACTGACCTCCTCCCTCTCTGCACTGACCTCCTCCCTCTCTGCACTGACCTCCTCCCTCTCTAGGACACTCTGCACTGACCTCTTCCCTCTCTACTATTGCCAGTTCAGGAAGACAAAGAGGATCTGGGGATTGACTACAGACTACACAGCTAATAACAATCAATGTGACGTATGTGTGTGTATGTATGCGTGCATGTGTGTGTGTGCGCGACTTAATTCCTGTGTGTGTGTGTGTGTGTGTGTGTTTGTGTGTGTCTATTCATGTGTTTGTGTTGAACTCTGTATGCGAGCTGTTGGCAGAGGCTATTGTTGATGAAATGTCAACACCTGGCTGGTGTGTGAGGGCAGCAGGGGATGAAAACAGGTTATTTACTGACACAGATATGTCCTGTGTTCTCCGCTTCAGATGAGAGAAGAAAAAACTAACCCAGAGTTTAGAAGTTGGAAGGCAGCTGTACTGTCAGTAACGACTTGGGCTTATTACTTTGCTCTGCCTGCTTTACCATACACTGCCAAACTGGGACAACAATATAGGCTTTCGCTCCAACACTTGACAGAGTTATGTTACGGTGGCGTTACGTAAATAATAGTTCTAAATCAGTGAATCGGAGGAAGGAATAAATGGAACGGTTTAACCGATCAAACACTTGGTTTTCATGCGTTTTATATTATTATGAGACGTCCTCCCACCAGCCTCCATGTTTCTGGATATGAAGAGAATATATATTTATTAGGACCTCAATTACTCAAATATTATATGCACAGTAGATTTATTCCCAAAATTAAAATTAGATTTTGACTTGGGGGCTAGGGGCACTGAGTTGAAAGGAATCAAATTCACTCTGTATGGAAAACTAAGGCAAACTCCAGGGTGGTTTTGGACATACACAGTGTGCTTAGTGTGTGTATTTGTGTGTTTTTGTGTGTGTGTTTATGTGCGTGCTATGTGCATGCGTGTTTCTGTGTGTGTGCGTGTGTATGTGTAGGGCTGTTACATTGACCGTATTACAGACACACCGGTGGTCACAAGTCATGAAGGCAGTCAAATTCCGCGTGACCGTTTAGTCACGGTAACTAGGCTTCTCCAAGCTTTGATGCTGCGGATGGTCATTAGTAGCCTGCCAAACTTGCTAACTGCCTGGTACTCAGCACACTATTGTCCCTCTAATCACTCTGAAATCAATGCAAATGTAATCGAAAATCAAATCAAACACTTCATGAGAGCCTATGAGTTCATGTTGCGCAACACTTCTATAGGCTATGCAATTGCGTGAGAAAACAGAGATTTGATGGCCTCTATTAAAAAGAGGAGGATCCCATTCGTTTTCTAAAGGCTAGGCCTACTACAGTGAGGGAAAAAAGTATTTGATCCCCTGCTGATTTTGTACGTTTGCCCACTGACAAAGAAATTATCATTCTATCATTTTTTAATGGTAGGTTTATTTGAACAGTGAGAAACAGAATAACAACAAAAAAATCCAGAAAAACGCATGTCGAAAATGTTATAAATTGATTTGCATTTTAATGAGGGAAATAAGTATTTGACCCCTCTGCAAAACATGACTTAGTACTTGGTGGCAAAACCCTTGTTGACAATCACAGAGGTCAGACGTTTCTTGTAGTTGGCCACCAGGTTTGCACACATCTCAGGAGGGATTTTTGTCCCACTCCTCTTTGCAGATCTTCTCCAAGTCATTAAGGTTTCGAGGCTGACGTTTGGCAACTCGAACCTTCAGCTCCCTCCACAGATTTTCTATGGGATTAAGGTCTGGAGACTGGCTAGGCCACTCCAGGACGTAAATATGCTTCTTCTTGAGCCACTCCTTTGTTACCTTGGCCGTGTGTTTTGGGTCATTGTCATGCTGGAATACCCATCCACGACCCAGTTTCAATGCCCTAGCTGAGGGAAGGAGGTTGTCACCCAAGATTTGACGGTACATGGCCCCGTCCATCGTCCCTTTGATGCGGTGAAGTTGTCCTGTACCCTTAGCAGAAAAACACCCCCAAAGCATGATGTTTCCACCTCCATATTTGACGGTGGGGAAGGTGTTCTTGGGGTCATAGGCAGCATTCCTCCTCCTCCAAACACGGCGAGTTGAGTTGATGCCAAAGAGCTCCATTTTGGTCTCATCTGACCACAACACTTTTACCCAGTTCTCCTCTGAATAATTCAGATTTTCATTGGCAAACTTCAGACGGGCCTGTATATGTGCTTTCTTGAGCAGGGGGACCAAGATAATTTTCACCATAAAAATGCATAATCGCATTTGTGATCACTTTTAAGAAATGTGTTTTTCCACTAATTGATTGCATTTTGGAACATTCGCGCTTATAGCCTACTGCCGTGTGCACATTGCTGCACTTATAATGTGAAGAAATAGCCTAATATTTTATCAACATTTTAAGCTAAACGTTCTGATCTGTTGCATCAGCCTCATTGCTTTTAAACGTTTTTTTGACGCAAGTGGTTGTATTAATTTGGGATCTATCGCATTCCGCAACTGTCCCAGACTGTTTGGAATATTTATTTCTCACACAGAAGGACAAGTTGACCAATAGAATAGGTCAACTTTTATACTATGGGGGAAAGTAGATTAACATAGACTAGTGCTTTTGCTGTTCGTTAGGCTTACTCACCTTGTTGGCTGACGAAAAGTAAATGTGGACAGTGAGAAGGACCCAATCACGTGACTGGCATTGGCTAATAAGAATTGAGATATCTGAGAGAGTCATGTGAGTGAGCGGTGCTTCGGAGCACGCAGCCGGGAGAAGGGAATTATAATTATTATATTCAGCCCAGGGCACAACGGCCACTGGCCGCAAAAGGCATGGATTCTTTTTAGGGGCATTACAGCCACACAAGGGAGATGCCACCGGGAAATTCGAGGCATTATCAAGTGCTTGTCAAATTGTGTATGAGAGACTGATGAAGTGTATGCAGTCTGCGCAAGAAACAAAGCCTTTCATGTGACTTTTTTCAAATCATCCTTATAGTCGCATCATGCAGCCTTAGAACGTATTAAAAATCAAAACATATAGCCCAACGTATGTATCACAACTAAAGTTGCATAAATAACTATAAATTAAGCATATAGGAGGACCTGTTTCTTTGTTAACTGCTCAACACAGAATAGCTGCATGTGTGCACTCCCTCAAATCGTTTGGAGAAAATACCCTGTCTATTTTATACAGCTATGTTCAATTGGTTTCTTCAAACTATAAAATAATATAAAATAATGCCAGGGAATTCTAAGCAAATCTTGTCTGCTAAATGAACCAGTGTAGCCCACAGCCATATGGCATAGCCAGATCAGGGCCTAACATAAGGACAACTCAGAGTATGCTATTCTGTTCTTCTGAAATATACAACATCTTCATATCATGTTTCTTTAGGCCTGTCTAAAATAAATAATGGATTTATTGTGATTGTGTAGGCTATATTAAAGGGATTTATTATACTTTTTTAAATGTGGATGTTCCAAAGGTCTGAATCAGTGGCTTGTAGGCTATGTGTGGAAGCCAGGAGATGCTAAATGTGTTTGTTACTTAATGGTCAATTACGTGACACCGCCAATGATTTGCTTGACAATCACCGGCTGACAAAATGTCATGACCGCCACAGCCCTTGTATGTGCGTTCGTGTGTGCGTCTTGGACCTATTACCTTGGTCTGGAGGGTTGGGGTCCCAGGCAGCCCACAGCTGGACGATGAAGAAGGGGGACCAGCAGACTGTGTACACCAACACTATCACCAGAGTCATCCTCACCGTCTTAGACATGGCCTTGGAGATGGAGGGGGGCGTCAGGGCCAGGGGGGGTGGGGGAGGGTACTCCAGGGAGGGGAGTGGAGAGGAGACACGCCGGGCGGAGGAGGGGAGCTCGTAGGAGGTGTAGGACTCATGGCAGTAGCAGCCGCCATTGTTAGGAGGCACTGAACCACCGCCACATCCACCAGAGGGGACTGGGCCATGGGAGCCATATGATGGGGGAACTACAGCTGTACTGGAGGCCCTCCGGTCACTAAGGCCGGGGCTGGAGGGGAGGGGGAGGTTATCTGGGGTGTTGAAGGGGATTGGCTGTGCTGCTACTGCTGCTGTGTGGTCGTTGTGACAGCTGCTGCACTGTGGGCAGGGGGACAAGTAGTCATAACAGTCTGATGGGGGGACAGCTGTAGACTGGGGGGAGAGGGGGGAGAGAGGGGTACAGAGAGAGCTGGAGGGGTTGTTGTTCATAGTCTTTAGAAGCTGTCCTTCTCCTACTCCTCTCCCCCCTCCTCCTCTGCCCCCTTCGCCCCCTCTTTCTCCGCCTACTCCTCTCCCACCTCCGCCCCCTCCTCCTTCTACTCCTCTCCCGCCTCTCCCCCCTTCTCCTCCTCCTCCTCCTCCTCCTCCTCCTCTCCCCCGTTCCCTTGTCGTTCTGCTATCCTCCTTTTTGACTCTGTGGAAGTGGAAGATGACAGCGTTGTTCTTCTTGAGCTCTGCTGACACCACCCTCTCTGACTTCAGATAGATGTTGTTGTGAATCTCTCTGAAAATCCGGATCTGGAATGAGAAAGAAATAGATGAATGAATTAATGAATTAATTAATTAATAAATGTGTCTAATTTATTTAGCTAGATACTAAAATAACATAATATGTAAATGTAATAGAACAAAATATACTGAATAAAAATATAAACGCAACATGTAAAGTGATGTTCCCATGTTTCATGAGCTGAAATAAAAGATCCCAGGAATGTTCCTTACACACAAAAAGCTTATTTCTCTCAACATTTGTGCACACATTTGTTTACATCCCTGTTAGTGAGCATTTTCTCCTTTGTCAAGGTAATCCATCCACCTGACAGGTATGGTATATCAAGAAGCTGATTAAACAGCATGATCATTACACAGGTGCACCTTGTGCTGGGGACAATAAAAGGCCACACTAAAATGTGCAGTTTTGTCACGCAACACAATGCCACAGATGTCTCAAGTTTTGAGGGAGTGTGCAATTGGCATGCTAACTGCAGGAATGTCCACCAGAGCTGTTGCCAGATAATTGAATGTTGGTTTCTCTACCATAAGCCGCCTCCAACTTCATTTTAGAGAATTTGGTAGTACGTCCAACGGCCTCACAACCGCAGACCACGTGTAACCACGCCAGCCCAGGACCTCCACTTCAGGCTTCTTCACCTGTGGGATCGTCTGAGACCAGTTAACCGGACAGCTGATGAAACTGAGGAGTATTTCTGTCTGTAATAAAGCCCTTTTGTGGGGAAAAACTAATTTTGATTGGCTGGGCCTGGCTCCCCAGTGGGTGGGCCTGGCTCCCAAATGGGTCGGCCTATGCCCTCCCAGACCCACTCATGGCTGCGCCCTGCCCAGTCATGTGAAATCCATAGAGTAGGGCCTAATTAAATTATTTCAATTGACTGATTTCAGTATATGAGCCCGTAACTCAGTAAAATCGTTGAAATTGTTGCATGTTGCATTTACAGTGGCTTACGAAAGTAATCACCCCCCTTGGCAGTTTTCCTATTTTGTTGCCTTACAACCTGGAATTAAAATGGATTTTTGGGGGGTTTGTATCATTTGATTTACACAACATGCCTACCACTTTGAAGATGCAAAATGTTATTTCTTGTGAAACAAACAAGAAATAAGACAAAAAAACAGAAAACTTGAGCATACATAACTATTCACCCCCCCCCCCCCCCCCCCCCCCCCCCAAAGTCAATACTTTGTAGAGCCACCTTTTGCAGCAATTACAGCTGCAAGTCTCTTGGGGTATGTCTCTATAAGCTTGGCACACCTAGCCACTGGGATTTGTGCCTATTCTTCAAGGCAAAACTGCTCCAGCTCCACCAAGTTGGATGGGTTCGGCTGGTGTACAGCAATCTTTAACTCATACCACAGATTCTCAATTGGATTGAGGTCTGGGCTTTGATTAGGCCATTCCAAGACATTTAAATGTTTCCCCTTAAACCAGTATGTTAGCAGTATGCTTAGGGTCATTGTCCTGCTGGAAGGTGAGCCTCTGTCCCAGTCTCAAATCTCTGGAAGACTGAAACAGGTTTCCCTCAAGAATTTCCCTGTATTTAGCGCCATCCATCATTCCTTCAATTCTGACCAGTTTCCCAGTCCCTGCCGATGAAAAATATCCCCACAGCATGATGCTGCTACCACCATGCTTCACTGTGGGGATGGTGTTCTCGGGGTGATATGAGAGGTGTTGGCTTTGCACCAGACATAGTGTTTTCCTTGATGGCCAAAAAGCTCAATTTTAGTCTTATCTGACCAAGAGTACCTTCTTCCATATGTTTGGGGAGTCTTCCACATGCCTTTTGACGAACACCAAACGTGTTTGCTTATTTTTTTCTTTAAGCAAAGGCTTTTTTCTGGCCACTCTTCCGTAAAGCCCAGCTCTGTGGAGTGTACAGCTTAAAGTGGTCCTATGGGCAGATACTCCAATCTCCGCTGTGGAGCTTTGCAGCTCCTTCAGGGTTATCTTTGGTCTCTTTGTTGCCTCTCTGGTTAATGACCTCCTTGCCTGGTCCATGAGTTTTGGTGGGCGGCCCTCTCTTGGCAGGTTTATTGTGGTGCCATATTCTTTCCATTTTTTAATAATGGATTTAATGGTGCGCCGTGGGAGGTTCAAAGTTTCAGATATTTCTTTATAACCCAACCCTGATCTGTACATCTCCACAACTTTGTCCCTGACCTGTTTGGAGAGTTCCTTGGTCTTCATGGTGCCGCTTGCTTGGTGGTGCCCCTTGCTTAGTGGTGTTGCAGACTCTGGGGCCTTTCAGAACAGGTGTATATATACTGAGATCATATGACAGATCATGTGACACTTAGATTGCACGCAGGTGGACTTTATTTAACTAATTATGTGACTTCTGAAGGTAATTGGTTGCACCAGATCTTATTTAGGGGCTTCATAGCAAAGGGGGTGATACATAGGCACGTACCACTTTTCCGTGATTTATTTTTTAGAATTTTTTTAAACAAGTAATTATTTTCATTTCACTTCACCAGTTTGGACTATTTTGTGTATGTCCATTACATGAAATACAAATACAAATGCATTTAAATTACAGGTTGTAATGCAACAAAATAGGAAAAACGCCAACGAGGATGAATACTTTTGCAAGGCACTGTATATTTTTTATTCAGTTTAGTTAAAACTAATAGAAAGAAATCCCGTAGACAATAAAAAAATATTTTGGAACAGACTCCTAAACCCAATCATCCCAACACAGACACCAAACTCAGACTTATTGTCCTTTTTAACTCAATTAAGTCCTAGATTCTGTTTCCGGAAAAAGCACATGACTCCAGCAGGTCAGGAGAAACTGGGTCATAGAACAATGTCCTGCCAAACCACGTTAAGAAGGACATAATTTGATCAGACCTGGGTTCAACTACTATTTGAAATAATTTCAAATGTTGTAGCTGAGCTTGATTTTGCTTGCCTGGCACAATGGAACCAATAGAATAGTCCCAAAATGACAAACCTGCCCATCTGGGGAACTCCAGGCAGGGTAAATCAAACACAAATAATATATTTGGCGCACAATTGGCCCAGCGTCGTCCAGGGTAGGGGAGGGAATGGCCGGCAGGGATGTAGCTCAGTTGGTAGAGCATGGCGTTTGCAACGCCAGGGTTGTGGGTTCGATTCCCATGGGGGGCCAGTATGAAAAAAATATAAAATTATAATGTATGCGCTCACTAACTGTAAGTCGCTCTGGATAAGAGCGTCTGCGTAATGACTTAAATGTAAATGTATTTGAACCCAGTTCTGCACTTGATATGAAACACAAATTAATTCAATGTCCCTAATCTTTGGCTGGGATCTGGTTCATTTGTCTGATATTCTGGTTCCCTGTGGGGTACCTCATGGTGGGTAGTGTCCTGACAGGCTGGCCACACAGCAGTGGGTCTACAGTGGGCTGTGCTAATTAGGCCAGGGGGAACAGCAAATAGCTAGACCCTGGGAATATCTTTCCTTAAATAGAGCAGCCAGCCCTCTCTCTCTCTGATTCTGACTGGACCAGTTGGAGGCAG